GACCCGCAAGACATTTGGGTGCCACCAGCAGCTTAACCATGGCACCAGGAGGAGGAGGAGGCTGTGCTAAAAGCAGCCTCCCATGGCACCACTGGGTCTCCTGCAGGCAGCTCGCCTCTCGCCCAGCGACTGAGGAGCTTCCTGCACCCAGTGACACCCAATCCTCCTCACAGACAGCATTCCCCAGAAGCTTTGCATAGGCCAAGACCCAGTGGAAGGGCTGGGATGCCAGGTTAAGTGTCTGTTATTAATACTAATCTTCTCCCCGCAGCGTTTCAGCACCTAAAGAGACGTTTGGTCTCGCTCCTGCAGAGCTTTACATCAAACCATCAGCCCGGAAGCACCTTTCTGGTGCTGATGCTCCGTTCCCTACAACGACTCCAGTCCCAGTCCGGTTCCACACGCACCTGCCCCTCAGGGTTCACCCCTTGCGCAGCACAGATTGGAGCTCTGGGTTGATGCACACCTATTTACCCCCCAGGTCCTTCGCCACGCCGCGCCTCAGGCGGACAGGTACTTCCAGGTGCTGATGAAGGCGGTGGGGATGAGGGAGTAAGGCACCGTCGTGACGCTGCTCCACGTGTCGGAGGCTGGGTCGTAACAGTCCAGCGTCTTGCAGCGCTGAGCCCCGCAGTACCCCCCCACCACGTACAGCCTGTTCCCCGAGGCCACAGCGCGGCAGCTGATGCGCTTCGCGGTGACGTCCCCAAACTTGGACCACTGGAAGGTGTCGCTGTGGAAGCGGTACGCGGAGCTGGCCGAGAACTCCGTGTCGCCGCCGATGACGATGACGTGGCTGCCCACCACGGCGGCGGCCGTGTACCGCCAGGGCTGCGGGCAGCTGGCGGGCACCGACCAGCGGTTCTGGCAGGGGTCGAAGCACTGCACCTTGGGCAGCTTCTCCTGGTTGGCGCTGGTGCCACCGAAGACAAACAGCTTCATCTTGGCTCCCACCACGGCGGCGTTGCTGACGCCTTCGCGCAGAGGAGCCACCAAGGACCACTTGTCCAGCTGCGGGTCGTAGTGTTCCACTTGCTTGAGGGAGACGGAGGGGGAGGCCGGGAAGGCGCCGCTGCCTGCTGTGTGCCCCCCCACCACGTACAGGCAGTGGTCCAGCTCCGCGGAGCCGTGGCCAAACCGCGCCACCAGCATGGGAGCAGCTTTTGCCCACTCGTCGTGGAGGGTGTCGTAAACCCAGACGTCTTTGGAAGCGCCGTTCTCGGAGCCTTTGCCGCCGGTGATGTACACCTTGCAGCCGATAGCGCAGGCGCTGCACTCCTTCCGAGGGCTCGGGATGTCCGCACGGGGAATGATCTCGCTGGTTTTGTGATCCAGCACGTAAATCTTGTCGCACATGAAGGTCTGGCCCCCCAGCAGCAGCAGGGCCTGGCTGACCTTGCGGGGTCGGGCACAGCAGCCCGTCACCAGGCCGTCGTTTTGCAGGATCTTCATCTTGCACCGGACGGCGTCAGCCACGATCTCCTCTCCCAGCTTGTGGCTGGTCACCAGCTTCTCGCAGGCCACTTGCTTGCGCAGGTAGGACTCGGGCAGCAGGGCCAGGCGGACAGAGCGCAGCAGCTCGGGCAGAACTTCGTGACGCCGGGGCAAGTCGTAGCGGATCCAACCTATAACAGCTTCATAGACCAACGTCTCGTCCTCTACCTCCAGCTCTTCGCTCTCCACCAGCTCTAGCAGCTTGTCCTTGGGCAGTCGCAGGAAGTCTTCAGTCTTGCAGAGCGAGGTGAAGTTGGCCAACGCCATCCTCCAGGAGAGCTCCAGCAGCCGCTCGCAGCAGTGGGCATCGGACAGCAGCAGCATGTTCAGGCAATTCCCGGGGTAGAGATTCTTCTCCAGAAAGTCAGCCGAAGCCTCCCGAATATCCTGGAACTGCAGCATGTCCCCGGCTTCCAGCAAGGACTCGGCGTTCTCCTCGTTAATCAGCACCCGCGCCGAGTAGGCATAGTCCAGCAGCAGCTCCAGCACCTCGGGGTGGAGGGAGTCGTGGAAGTTCACTTCAGCGTCTCTGCTCTCCTTCAGGCCCCCGCTGAACATAGCCTCGAAGTAGCGGCTGCAGGAGGCCAGGACAGCCCGGTGGCAGTGGAAGGTCTGGTTCCCCGCACGCAGCACCACGTCGGTGAAGAGGTGCCGCTTGCGGAGCAGGTTGAGGTGCGTGAGGAGGCTGTCGGCGTGGCCCGGTTTGTGGAAGAGGTGGATGTTCATGGAGCCGGAGCTCGAGCGGGATTTCCGGTTCTCGTGGCTGCTCACGGACATGGTGCCGAGGCCGCCCCGCCAAGGGAAAACCGGAGTCAGCGCAGGAAGCACCGGGACCGGCGCGGGTGTAGCCGGGACCGCGGTAAGCGCACACCGGAGGGGAGAGGGGGGGGGGGGGGGGTTCGCACCGCGCAGCCCGAAGCGGGCACCGGGCGGTCCCGGACCAAAGGCGGTTGCAGGGCACTGCACCGGCGGGACCCGGCAGTGCCCGCTCCCGGTGCCGCCCGTCCCGCACCTCGCTCCGCTCCCGCCGCTCAGCTCCGCCGCCGCCGCACCCCGCCGCGTGGCCGCCCCGCCGCAGGCCCCGCCCCCGGACGATGGAACAGCCAATCAGCGGCCGCAAGCGCTCAGCGCTCGCTCATTTATGAATGGGAGCCGGGGACTGGCGTGCGCATGCGCCGCCCCTTAACCCCTGCGTGCCCGGCGGCAGCGTGTCCGGATGTGCCCCCCCCCCCCGAGCCCCGTTGTCCGCCCCGCAGCAGCGGCGGGGGCCGGGACCCTCCTCAAGCCTTCTGCAGCCCCGGTGATGCCGTAACTGACCCCCAGCTCTGCTGCCAACGGCCCTCGGATCTCGGCTGCTTGCTTGGTCCCTCCCAGACCCCACCATCATCCATCCATCCATGCATCCATGCATCCATCCATCCATCCATGCATCCATGCATCCATCCATCCATCCATCCATCCCATCCACCCACCCATCCACCCAATCCACCCATCCATCCATCCATCATCCACCCACCCATCCAAACCATCCATCCAATTCATCCATTCATCCACCTATCCATCCATCCATCCATCCATCCATCCACCATCCATCCATCCACCCATCCATACCATCCATCCTTCCATCCATCCATCCCATCCATCCACCCACCCATCCATACCATCCATCCTTCCATCCATCCACCCATCCAATCCATCCATCCACCCATCCAATCCATCCATCCACCCATCCAATCCATCCATCCACCCATCCATCCACCCATCCAATCCATCCATCCACCCATCCAATCCATCCATCCACCCATCCATCCACCCATCCACCCACCCATCCAATCCACCCATCCACCATCCATCCATCCATCCAATCCACCCATCCATTCACCCACCCACCCATCCACACTTAGGAAGTGTTTTCCTGAGTGCAGCAAAGCAGGAGCCGGGTTGGGCTGATGGCTGCAGCAGAAAAGAGGAAAAATCACCCAAAAAAAGCAGTTTTGGGGAGGATGGGGTCCGTGTGTGCAAGCACTGCCAGCGCTGCCCTGGGGAGGTGGCTGCAGACACCACAGGGGCTCGAGTGCTGTGTGCCAGTGCTGCTGCTCCACAGAAACACACAGCTTTTGGAATGACCACGTTTTGCTTTACCTTTGCTTTCTCCTGCACTTCCGAATGGCTCAACATGGAAGCAGGTGAACCAAATGCACTCGGAGCAGTGGAGAGGGGCCCTTCTCTGTGGTAAAATTGAAAGCGTGGTATAGAGTTTTATCATTTTGGTATCAGAGATGTATTTGGGGTCTTTTCAATCTCTGTAGATCCCACACTGAGCGGGAGAGGGTATCCAGGAGGAGTAGCTTCATGAGGTTAAGGATCTGAAAAGAGAGAATCTGATTTCTTATTAAACCCCATGAAACTGCAGCAGGAGCCACTGCAGGGTGACAGGAGCAGGCATCAGCTGCAGCTGTCCCTGAGCAAGACCCAGGCACAAGATCTGTAAGAAAAAAAAACAAGTTTCTTCCTGTTTGTTCTGCCTCCCCCAGCCCCAAAAGCTGGAGATCTGACAGCAAACCGGGAGCAGAGTCAGGCAGGCATCCTTGGGGTGCACTGCAGGGCGAAAGTGCAGATAAAGAGCAAGGACAGGGCGAAAGATAAGGAGTATCGAGTCCTCACTCTGCCCTTTGGACACAGGCAGGAGATAGTTTCACATGTCTGTTCCAAAAGCAACACCACAAAAGAGGAGGTCAGAGCTCTGGCTGCAGGAGCACGAGCTCCACACACACTCAAGCACAACCTTTTTCCAAGGCTGCATTTTCCTGCTGCTTCCTCAGGTGCTCCCAATTTTTTGGTAAGCTCCCACAGCGCAAACGTTTCCTGACGCCCAGGCACCACTTGGAGCTTTCTAGAACCAGGTAAAAGCACATTTGCCGGGTTATCAGGAATGAAGGTTCACTCAAGGCCGACTTTGAAGCATTCATCTCGTTTATTATTGGCACCACCTAGAAATGTAACTGTAAACCTCATCTTTGCACGGGTTTGATTGGTTCTTTGAACGGGAATTAATACATTCGCTGCTACCGCAGCCTGGTGGAAGAGCTCCACCCGGCGGCAGCCCAGCAAGGCACGGCTGGAGGCTCGGCGCAGCTTCTCCTTCAGGAGCAACATGGACTCGAAGAAAGCCCCACACGGCTCCCAGTGGTTATTTCCTTCCCCTCTGGCCTCCACAGAAACACAACCAACACAAAATAACAGCTGGCTCCTGTTTCTGCTGGGGGCAGCACTTCTGGGCTCAAACACTGGAACATCCAATGGAGAAACTCCCATGATCCAGGTCGGCTCCCAAGGCACCAGGCTTAGGCTCACAGGATCCAGCTCTCGGAAGTTTTGTGACAGAACCGTGGCTGGTTTCCCTCCTAATGCTGACTTTGTGCGCTTTTAAGTGACAGCGAAGACTGGAGGGTTGTGTTTGTCTTTTGAGGATGGAAGGATGGAAGTTGTTTTCCCTGTTTTCCCTATCCCTATTTTATCAATCATAGATTTTTTGATTTGTCAGAGGATTCACCTGAAAGATTTCTCAATAGAGCAGTAACAATCATTAGCTGCAAACAACCCCCTCTGTAATAGACATCTTGATTACAGTCCCACTTACAGGATGGATGAAATCAATCACTGCCTCCCAGGAGAGTTAAAGTGCACCCTGCCTCACTAAAGGCATCTTCACCAGGTAAAAATTGGGCTCCTGAAGCTTAATGATGGTTTAGGCAGCTTCAGAATTCCCTCCTCTAGAGGCTTGGTAGATACCTATCAGGGAAGATACAGTCCCCAGGAGACCAACTAACCATGGAGGAAACCTTCCAGCCCACAGAAATCCTGGAGGCAGCCAATGGATTGCGTTGGAGAGATCTGCCCCTTGTGCAAGGATGCTCAGAACTTCAGCCTTCACTTGGGCTTTCGCTTCCTTCCGACTCTGAGGCGAAGGTGTCCTGCTGGAAGCAAAAGTAACATGAGGATCGATAGCTCATCATGTATTAACAATTAGCGACAGCTCACAAATGAGAACAGGCAGAGCTGTGTTAAATGAGCTGGATGTCCAAGAAGGGCAATCTTACCCCTTGTGCTGCCTCAGCTTTCTTAACTGGCACAAGATTCTGAGGGATCTGAAAACAAGGGAAGAGAGTTATCTCCCCTATAGCAAAGGGGGGGGGGGGGGTGTGTTCTCAACATGAACTGTATCTGTGAGGAAGAGCACCCTTCTACTGCTTGGAGGGCCATTCATTTTATCCTGATTAATCAGAGAATCATAGAACAGCAGCTTGGAAGGGAATTCAGGGATCATCTGGTCCAACCTGTCTAGGCAAAGCATGACCCCAACTAGATGGCCCATCACCAAGCCAAATCTTAACAGTGCCCAGCACTGGTCAATCCCCCACTTCTGGGGGAGATCACTCCAATGGCCGATTGCTCTCATGATAAAAATCTTTCCTCTTGTGTCCAGCCAGGGTCTCCCTAAGAGTAACTTGTACCTGTTACCCCTTTTGCTTTCCATGTGACTCCTTGTAAAAAGGGAGTCTCCATTGTCTTTGTAGGCACTCTAACTACAGGAACACGGTGATAAGGTCTTCCCTGATCCTTCTTTTCCCAGGGCTAAACAGACTCACCTCTCTCAGTCTTTCAGCACACGGCTGCCCTGTCCTTGGATCATCGCTGTGGCCCTTCTCCAGCCCATCCACATCTTTCTCTGGTATAGCAGGGACCAAACCTGAGCCCAGTATTCCAGGAGCAGCCTGACATGCGTTGAGTAGAGCGGGACACGCTCCATACCCTGCCCATCTCCTTCCCCCCCCCCCGCATCCCACCTTACCGCAGGATACCAAGGAGCAGGGACAATGCCCAGAGCCCCATGCTCAGGGTCCACCACTTCTGAGCACGGGCACGGATGATGCCGGCGTCGGCGGCCCACGCGACGTGCTCGCAGGGGTAGTACAGCTGGTTGGCCACGTTGCAGAGCACCGACAGCGCCCGCACCAGCCCGTCCTCGTCCTGTGGGGAGCACGCGGGGGCGGGGGGGACACGCACTGGTTCCTGCGGTGGGGCCTGGGGGGAAAGGGAGCTGCCGGTCCCCCCCGCGCTCACCTTGGGGCCCAGCCCGTAGCCGCAGCTGTAGCGGAGCATGGCGAGGTCATCGAAGAGGCGCAGCACCGTGCGGCAGGCGCTCAGCTCGGCGGACACGGCCAACAGGCTCCCGGGCAGGCCGGACGGGGAGGCCTGCGGCCCGGCCAGCGCCCCGCCCGCCAGCTGACAGCCATAGCAGAGAGCACGGACCTGCGGCGAAGTCGGGGGGGGAGCAGAACCCGGTGAGGGGCGGAGAACCCGGTGAGGGCCCAGCCGCTCCCGGCTCTCCCTCACTCACCGCCCGGTCGCGGCCCCGGTGGGTCTCCAACGCAGCGACCAGGCCGCTGAGGGCGCTGGGCGCCATAGCAACGCTTCCGGAATGTGACGTCACGGCGCGCTGGTGCACGCCGGGAAGCCGTCGCTATGGAGACGCGGCCTAGCCTCCGGAGCGAGGCATTGGCGCCATGGCGGCCTGCGCGGTGCCGCTGATCCCCGCGCCCCTCACGGGCCCTGCCTTCCTGAAGGCGACCCATGCCCGGCTGGGGGATGAGCGCTGGGCGTTGGGCAGCGCCTGGAAGTCGCTGTCTCACACCCACTTCCCCCCGCGCTGGGGGGTTCACAGGAGGTCTCCGGTCCCGCTGCCCCCCAGCGGGCGGGTGCTGAGCTCGGCCTGGGGCGGCGGGGACCCCCGCTCGGAGACTCAGCGGGCGTTTCCCGAGCGGCCCCTGCGGGCCGCGGCCCCGGTCGTGCCCCCGGAGCCGATGATTCGCATGCACACGGACCCCCGCGTCTGCGTCCGCACCTCGGAGACCAGGGAGCGCTTCTGTCCCCTGCCCGCCGCGAGGAGAGCCGCCGTGCCCACGGGCAGGGCGCGGGAGGACAACGTTCCCTGCGGAGACAGGGAGAAAATCGGGCTCCTTCCGTCCATCTACACCACCTCGTACCCAGCGCATGAGGTCCAGCCTGCTGCCAGGCCGTGGCACTCGCACAGGAGTAAGCTGCTGTACCCCGGTGCTGCATAGGCTTCCTGGGGGTCTGGTGCCTTGGTTCAGGGCTACACCATATTGGGCTGCTTTGCTTTCTCTTTTAATGGATGAGTAAATCACTCTGATGCTCGTAGCACAGGGTGGCAGCACTCACTAGAGCCCCTCGCCAGCCAAGCTTTGGCTGCAGAGCCCTTCTTCTATGCTCGCTGCATCCTCTCATGCTGCAGGATTCACACCAGAGCTGCATCACTTCTGAGGTTCCACATCCATGTGCTGCAGTGTTGTGGCTCACCTTATTGCGGCCTGGCGTCAGTTACTTTGCCGTTTCGTTATAAGAAATAAATTCAGTAGTACTAAAATGCCGTAAGAGCAGCTGCCTCAAGGCTGCAGTTTCAATAGCATTAATACTTCCCATATAAAATAACACCATTTCCCCTTCTGTCTGTTTGGCAGGATGTGATCCCATTAAAGGGGATGGACAGTCCTATTACCACACTTCTTATCAAGCACAGTTTAAGGGTGAATGGAGTCCACCTGCAAAGCCAAGTGAAAAGGTAACAGCACGATTTTGGGGAGGACCAAGACATAGTTAAAGGACAGCAAGTTCTCACATTGAATTCTGTCCTGAAAGGGGTGGGATCTGTGCAAGTGGAAACCAGATGGATGGAAAGACAGGAAGGAAGGGGAAGGGGAAGTTCAACAAGGCCAAGTGCAAAGTTCTGTATCTCTCTTGGGTTCCCTTCAGCGCACGTCTATTAAATTTGGGGATCCCAGAATCAGTGGATCTATGAGTGAGCAGAAACATGCCTACAGTGCCCCAGACAAAAGGACGCACAGGTATCAGATGGAGAACCTAGTGGGCATCCTCAGGAACTGGTCCTTCTGGTGGACACTGCGGTTTAAGCACCTCCTATCTGATCTCTTGCAGAGCCTACGACAAGGAACATGCTGCCTCCCAGATCCAGCACGTAAACGTGCAGCTGGGGGATGGTTGTACCAGATTCTCCACCTCAACATCCGAGCAGTTCCCAGCATACAACGTAGGTAAGGCAGGTCTGTGACACAGAGTCAGCTGTCAGTTGTTCAGAGCCTGGATTGCTCCGACACCCTTCACTCTTGCTTTTACCAGAGCCTGTAACTACGGTCCACCCAAACCGGTATGCCTCATCCATCCCCAGAGGTGATGAAGACCCTGAAAGAAACCGAGCATTGGCAAGCACTACTACTACACGGCTCTCCTACCCAGAGGTCTGTTCCCAGCTTTGCTGTGAGGGTGTTTCTCTGTTGAAGACCCTCTCTTCTTTTATGTACACTACTCTGGCACCTAAAGCCAATGCTGTTGTTCCTTCTCCCTTCCCTGCACAGCCTGTTTCTGTTAAAGCAGCTCTTGTGTTCCCAGACTGCCTGCCGGAACCTCCCCGCCAAGCCTGACCTGCTGCTTCACAAGCACCCAACCAAGCTCTGCCTGGGAGATGAGCATCCAAGCTCCCGTTTGTTCAGCACAACGCAGCAGTCGGACTATCAGCCACCCCAGCAGAGCGAGAGAGTGATGGCAGACAGCAGGAGCCACCGAGAGAGCCACATCCCCTTCAACTACCACGGTAAGGCTACATTGCTCAGGCTGTTGTGGTGCCAGGTGAAGCTTGCTGAGGTTCTCCTCGCTCTGTGCAAGGGATGGCAATGCTCTGGGAAGGGAGGCAGCTCAGATATCTTGAGTTGGAGGTGGCAGGAAGGCACTGGTGCAGCAACATGCCTTTAGTAAAACGAGAGTGTTACCCCCACACCAGGCAGACCCTTTCTACACGTGTTTTTAGAAGTTGTTTTGTGTTTGTATGTGGGAGGAAGGAGGGGGTTTCTGTGTTTATGCAACCTCAGGAGGGGAAGTGGGTAGAGCTCGTCATGGTCATTATGAAAATCCTCTGACTTTGCCTTCTCTTTCTCACGGCCAGTACTCTGCAGCAGAGAGGTCCCTTCATGCCAGCTATCTGGGTTTAAGTCCTTTGTTTTACTAAATGTGGAATGGATCACAGTTGAATTGATCTTTTCCTTGGCCCCAAGCTTCTGGAGCAGCTCCACAACTAGTGTGGAGTGCTATGGAATGATATTCCTGTAACTGCCATCTGAATTTCTTCACTTACCTCCTCACCTTGAGGATTGTTTTCTGTCTGGCCAAAGGTTTTCATCCAAGTGCTGAGAGCAGAGCCTGTTTTTTCCTCTCATTAATGAGATATATGCAGGTCTGTGACTGCAAGTCAAACTGCAAAGCTTTTCTGATACTGCCTCCTAACTTACTGGCCTGAACTTAATTTTCAATTCAATTCCATCTGTTAGCAGATGAATGTTCTGTCACAACCATGAAGGCCACACTGGTTCCACACAGACAGCAGAAACAACGACCCTCTGAAGAGATGCTACAGCAGGTACAGCCTTAATAGCCTTGGATTTACCATGGGGTGGCTTGGGGAAGCAGGTCTAGACCAAGCAAAGCTATAGCCTCCCCACTAACATAGAATCATAGAATAGTTAGGGTTGGAAAGGAACTTAAGATCATCGAGTTCCAACCCCCCTGCCATGCACGGGCAGGGACACCTCACACTAAACCATGTCACCAGTTTCTATGTGTGCTCTTGAGCTACTTGAGCTAGGACAGCCATGCATCGAATCCTGTCTGCCTCCAGCCTCAAGTAAAAGCTCTGTGGGGAGCAGAGTTGCAGATAAGTCTCTGAAGGGAGAGGAAGGACAGGCAGCCAAACTCCTAAGCCAGGGCATGTTGGAGGAAGGGGAAGGTGATTCTGGTCCCCCACAGAGGATCAGAGGAGGAAAATCGGCGTAGCTAGAGGTGTCCAACCAGGGTAAATATCTCTTTGCACTACTAGCAGAGAACACTGTGCCTCTGCAGAGAGAGGATGCAGGTAGGCCCAGACTGCAGCTGCCCAGGGGAGTGACCCTTCAGGTACCAATATGGGGCTCAGATGTTGGGGCTGCCAAGTTCTGTGTGACCACCTGCCTCTTCCCCAACCCCATCCCCCCTGTGCTGAAAGCTCTTTCCTCTCCTCAGATCAAATACTCACACCTGGGGCTACCCTGGAGGGCACAGGACCTCTTCAGGACTGAGCAGAAAGATCAGTTCACACCCAAGTTCAGACGTCCAGCAGACATCCAAAAGGCAAACTTCCAAGTGAGCTGCGTCCCCCTGGGGACCCTGAAAAGATACTGTCCCCAGAGAAAAGTGCACTTCGCTCTGTGATGTTCTCCCTTCTTCAGTGACCACCCAGAACATGCTGCTCTGTGGACTGCCTACACATCGTGTAACCTCTTAGCCATCCTGGTACTCCTCTCTTGGCCCATCTGTGTGTTCTTACAAGGAGCTTTTATTTCTCAAACTGAATGAGGACACAAGAAGGTGTTGTGACAGCAAGAATAAACACTTGGAGATTAGCCCAAAGACATGCGTGACATCTCTCTGCATTGCAAGACCCACCAAATGCCTCTAGGTAGGTGGGGTGATGGGAAGCTCAGAGAAAGGGCAAGAGATCAGCAGCAGAGTAAGAGGCACTGTCAGGGCTGTGTGTGTGCTGGAATATTCCCTTAGGAGCTGTTTGGATTTTGGTGTCAAGGCTGAAACCAAAGGTCAGTGAACAGCAGGGCAGAGAGACAGCTCTCCCCAGCTTATGATGAGCTGTTTTTCTGCAGGCGAGCCATGTATTTTTGATGACTTACTAACTCATGTAGGTTTCTTGAATGCTGAGCTTGCACTAACTCTGTCTGGGACACGGTATTATAAAAAGGGATGTGTGTGGGGTGGCCAGCCCCATCCCTTGTGGGGCCAAGGAGCAGGGTCAGCTGCCGCCTTGTCACAGCTGCCACTTCTCAAGCTCTCCTCAGCTTTTTAGTTCAGGTGGGATTGATTCGCACACGCTGTGAGCCAGCACCAAAGCCTTTGAGCACGGGTGTCCAAACCATTTCCAGTTGCTGCAGTTTGTGTGTGAGCAGTGGCTGGGCACAACAGCCCGCATGCTTTCCTCTTGGGATTTGACTCTGTCTCTCAGAAAGGGATAGGCTTTGCTCCACGTACTCAAATCTTGCAAACGCACACAGGCACCTCGCTCAGGATCTTGTGCCCCGTGCATTGCAAACACCTTGCTTCAAACACCTAGGCTGGATGCTTGGTGTAGTAACAGGGACTGGCATCTGCTACAAGCCTGCCCTGTTACTTCTATGTGACCCTGAGATGTCGTTGCCACCTGTGCTACTGCAGAAACAGCCACGGTTCACAGGACATAGATAGTGAACACCACCCCTTGGTGGAACCCGCTGGCTGGGAGGGCCCTGTGGTTATTCACTTCCTTGTTCACACTGATTCTGATAGACCTTCAGAGACAGAAAGTAAACCTGGCTTTTGGGGGAAGGGCTGTTTGCTTTCTCCCACCCTTTCCAGCAACTTCCCAGGAATGCCTGAACTGGGAAGGCCAAACATTTCTTGATCTCCAGTCTTTGATTCCTCCAGCTGCATGAAACCTGCCAGCATGGCTGGTGGTGCTTGACCCTCCTCCCTGCTGACGGAGCCACCAGCACGTTCCAGTTGCACGTCGGCAGTGTCTGTGACTCAGAGATAAGATGAAGTCACGTCACTTCTCCATCAGTTTAAAACCACATCACTTGTCTCTGCAGCCCCATCCTCAGCACAGCACCAGCCTCAAGGCACACGAGGTCACCGCTAAAGCATCACAGCAAAACAGGGGCTCAGTCCCACCCTGGTGAAGATTAGGCCTGCACGGTGGAGGCCAGTTAGGGGCAGGATAAATTAGGGGGTCTCAGTGCAGCCTGTGCTCTTTCCTCCCTTCCCTAGGGAGCTGCACAGCTGCCTGTCCCAGGCAGGGCCCGGCCTCCTGGAGCTGCCAGCTAAGCGTGGCCAGCAGCGATGCAGCCCCTGGGGTGCTTGCAGAGCCTGGTGCTGGAGCTGGAAGATGGACGAGCATGGGGAGCCCACAGCAGCGGGGATCTGCTGCATGGGCGGGTGCAGCTGCGGCTCCGCCACGCACTGCGGCTGCGGGCGCTCGAGGTGTTCGCCCGTGGCCGAGCCTTAACGCACTGGTTCGAGAGCCGCAGCGTGGGGCTCAACGTTGTCTACCGTGACTACACAGCCTGCCAGACCTTCCTGCACCGCCGCTGCCAGCTCATCCCCGGTAAGGCTGCACTACCGGGGTGCTTCTCTGCACCAGGGCGTTGGGTTAGGGCCCGCTTGGGCTGCAGGCATCACCCCTGCTAGGTGCTTCCCAACCCAAGCATGGTTGCCCGTCTTGGACACCTTCTTCTCACCTTTGCTAAGGGTTTTTTCACTGCTGCTGGTTTCTAGGAGGCTGCCTGCAAACTTGGGGCTGGGGAGCACCGAGGAGCTGTGGCTTTTGTTCTGTTTGCACAGGGAAGTGCAAATAGAAGGGTCTGTTCACAAGTGTGGAAAGAGCACTTAGGAGTTCAATAAATATTTGTTTGCAGTTTCCCGAGGCTGGGACTGGATGCCCAGCTAGCACGTTGCTTAGATCTACTGCAGCTTGAATTCTTTGTGTGGTTGGGATGAAATGATCCAGAACTAAGGGATATGGGACATCTCAGCTGGCCATACGCTCATTAACTCTGTCTTTTCTTGGGGAAGTGCATGCCTTTCATCCTCCCCTCCAATGACAGTGTTAGTCATGGCTCTGTGGCTTTTTCTCCCCCTTTTCCTGCTTCTGCTGGCCTCATGATTGCCTGTGGCACAGTGCTGTGTGCCGTAGGACTTAACTCATGCTGAAGGCATTTAATTGTGTCAGTGGCCGTGGTGCAAGCCAGAAAGCGGTGCCAGCTCTAGCTGGCAAATGTGGAGTTGCAAGAAGAGACTGGAGTGATGGAAGGAGGACATGAGCTGTCTTCCTGGAGCTGTTCTTCTCTCTGGACTGCCCTGGGGGGTCATATTCTCTATTTCTGGATGACTGTACCTTGCCATCTGCTCCAATACCTGCATTACTCTGGAGTTTCTGCCTTTTGGCAGTGGTTTTTCCATGCTGTGCCTAAGGATGGCCCCTTTGCTAAGTGTTCCAATTGCAGTTAAGGACATGGGAGAGGCCCTTGTCCTGAACTCCAGCAGGAAAGGTCTGAGCATGTGGTTGCTGCAGTGCTTGGAAGGTGTCTGCTTTAGCTGTAGGGTTACAGGGTAAGTTTTATTCGCCATTATCCCTGCAGTGAATGTCTGTAGGGAAGCCACAAGCTGCTGTGAGCACGTTTAGGTTTATGCTGCTGGGACTGTGTGTGGTAGAAGCCCCTGGAGCCATGCGAAGAAGGGCACTTGGCCAGGGGCTGGAGGAGCTGCACGAGCTGCTCTGCCTCGCCAGCACTCTGCACTCCTGTAGCTTGGAGCTGATGTTTTCTGGCCCTTGCTTCCTGCCTGGGGAGAGCTGAACTGGGCTGTGTGGGGAGCAGGGAGCCTCGCCACAACTCGTGGGCTAGGATTTTATTGTCTCTGTCCACCCACAGGTTCCTTCTCTGCTTTGTGAGAGGGACACGGGCATGTGATCACAGGAATGTGTTTTAAGGCAGCAAAGGCTGTGGGCTCTGGAGAAGTGTCATTCTACAGCCAAAATCACTTCCTTTGGCTCCTGCTGGGCTCTGCCAGCTGCCCAGTGGCAGCGTGAGGACCTTCCTGATGTCAGCCGGCACAAAGCTGCTGCAAGCGTGCCATGATCCACAAGTCCCTGTGACTGCTCCTTCTTGCTTCTCGATGAGCTCAACTGTGTGTGCGTGGTGTTTCAAAACTGCAGTTTTGTCATGGTAACAAGGCAGTGCAGAGGAGGGAAGCCAGGTGGAGATGAGCCCTCCCTTCTGCTCGCCCCGGAGCTCTGAGTTTATCTGCAGTTTCTTGGCAGAGTGGTGAGCGCTGGCACTGGGGTGCTGTGACATTAAGACAAGAAAAAGGGTGGAAGAAGGATGTTCAGGCTGTGGGCAGGGCCATTAAATGTCTATTGTGTAATCAGCTTAGGGAGCAGGAAGAGAGGAAAAACTAGGGGTTTAAGGGGCAAGGGCAACACAAGGAAAGCCCTGGACCCTTCTGCACGAGGTGATGCGAGGGAGCCCATCAGTGGTACTCATGCAGTGATCTTTTCTGTCTGACAACCCCGCAGCACTTCCCAGAGCTGAGCTCCTGCTCCGGTGAGAGACAAGCATCCAGAAGCCATTTTCTTTTCATGGAGACATCCGGGACAGTTACAGCACGTGAGCTAAGAGCGCATCAGGGCTCTTGCTCTGTTGTGGGGTGGCCTTGATCGGCACCTTAATCCTTGCAACACCCGGAGCAGGAGCTTACTCTTCAAGCTGGGAGTGGGAGTTTGTGCAAGGCTCTGCGTTGCCCTGTCTTGTCCCGATGCTGGGTCAGGGTAGAGCTGCTGACTCGACTTTTTACCTCCTGCATTCCCTAATCTGTGGCTCTCCAGGGTCCCTTGTGCGGCTCCAGGGTCAATGAGGAAAAGCCACCAGGTCCCAGCAGCCGGTCGGGGAAGGAAGAAGCCGCTTCAGAGCCGGGTGCTAGCTCCTGTTTAAACCAGCTTAAGCCTGGCCAGACTCTAGATGGGGCTCAAGAGTTTGCGATCTTTCCTGCACGGATCCTGGCCTGGGTTTCAGTTGGGTTGGGGCACTCCGGAGCATTGTTGAATGGAAAAGCCATGGCTGTGCTCCCACAGTCCCTGCAACTGGTGCTCCCTGGGGAGACAAGAGACCCTCTCCCAGCACCGGGGTGTCAAAGGGGTCAGAGAGGGGCTTCCCACCACCCGTGGGGGCAGCGAGGGGAGGCTGTGGTGTAGGGAGGATGCTTGCAGGGCTGAGTCACGGGCTGCAGGGTGTGTGTTGGCAGGGAGAGAAGGAAGGTGCCGAGCGCAGGACGGAGCTCCAGCCCCTCTCAAGAGCCCCATCACCTCGAATGTCACCATGCATCCCCCCAGGAGCCTTCCCAGAGCTGCTGTCACCAGTTGTGCCTTCCTTCCTTCTTTCCCTGTCCCTTTACTGTGTGTTTGCTACGATTCATGTTTGCTCGTGGCAGCAACCGGTTGTGCACATAACGCAAAACACGGTCTCTTCCCCTGGGGAGGGAGACAGACATTCCAGGCAGGCTTTGGAGACAGTTAAAGCTTTGCAAGGCTTGAGCCCCACTCGTTTTCAGTGTGTTCAGCACAGCAGGTCCTGCCCAGCATGGCTGGGAGCAACTCAAAAAATCCTCCCAACTTTGGTGGCCAAAAGCCCAGTAACATTTTTAATGCCTGTTTTGCCTTAGCCCCAGCCTGTGCCCGGGGTGGGGAGCTCTGGCACTCTGCAAATGTGACAAGCACGGTTAAAGCAGAAGTTTCTGAAGCTGCATTAACCCCTTGGGGAAGGCACAGACCCCTTTCTCCTTTCTTTTACAACATCCCATGGTGAGGTCACCCTTTGAGCCAAGGCAGCAGCAGATGCTGTTGCTAGAGCGAGTCCCCCTGCCGTGCCTGGCCATGCCGGTGTGTTTTGTCGCTGGGTTTTGGAGCAGCACCACCCAAAGCCCAGCACGAGCTGGTAGGAAAGCAGCACTCGCCTGGTTAACAGGCGCAGGGAGGATGTGCTTGCTGCTCGCTGCAATTGCACAAGCTGAACCCCAGCCAGTTCTTCAGTTCTGAGAAGAAAAACAAAGCCATGTCCCAGACCAGTTTTCCCTTCATCGCCAGTTGGCCAGAAGGAGCCCAGATCCAGTTGCAGCCTGTTCTGACCCCTGGGAATGGTTCTTGGGAAAGGAAGGACGTGGATCTGTGTGCGGCGGACCCCTAGCTGGTGGGAAGTGGAATGCAAGGGGCTGCTGCCTGGGAACGCAGATTCCGGCTGGTGGAAGAAAGGATGAGGATGGAGTGGGAACGTGGGGTGGGAGCTGGAGGGAGGCTTGCGAGGCACACAGGACGTTATCCCAGGCAGCGTTGAGCGCCGTGAACCATCCTGCTCCGGGACACGTTCCCGTGGGCTGCTGCGGTCCAAGCATCCATCGGGATGCCTCGGTCCGATGCCAGGACGCGCCGGAACGGGGTCACCCGGCCCCATAGGAGCCCCACGGCTCCCAGCAGCGCGGGGCCAGGCCCGCACATGCTCCCTGCCTTGTTTTGCAGGGCTCGGCGAGGCCGCCCCGTCCCGCCCCACCGGGGCCGCCCCCGGGCCGCGCCGGGCTCTTAAGGCGGCGGAGGCGGTGCCGGGGCCGGGCTGCGCCGAGGGACGGGCTCTCGCCATGCTCTTCGATCGCCTCAAGCGCTTCTCGGTCGTGCTGGAGGGCGCGGAGGGGGACGCCGCGGTCGCGTTCAGCCCCGGGCAGGCGGTGTCGGGCCGCGTGGTGCTGGAGCTGGCGGCGGCGGCGCGGCTCGGCGCCCTGCGGCTACGGGCGATGGGCGCTGCCCGCGTTCACTGGACCGAGTCCCGCAGCGCCGGCTCCAGCACCGCCTACACGCAGAGCTACAGCGATCAGGTGGAGTTCCTCAGCCACCGCGACACGCTGCTGGCACCCCCAGGTACGGCACCCACCACCCAACCCCTGCAGTGCTCCATCACCTAGAAGCAGGGTGTGGGTGTACCGGGGACCCCAGGGGCCGGAATAATGGGTGCATGGGGCAGGCTGGGACGTGCTGCAGACACCCCAGTCAGCTGAAATACGGGTGCATGGGGTGCGATAGGGTCTTGGTGCTCGGGGGACTGGGTGCGTAGGTCCCCTGAAGACACCTCAAATGCTGAGAGCACCCTGGGATGCTGAGGTGTGTGGTTGGACCCTGCTGTTGGACCCCGGTTAGGGGCTGGCCCCACACAAGACTCCCCCTTTCCTTGGTAGGGAAGCGGTGCTGGAAGACTCCTGCAGAGGTTCTGGAGCTTGCTTTGATAGCGAATTGGACTGGGTGATCCCAAGAGGGATCCAACCCCAGCTTCTCTGTGCAGTGCAGGCAGGACAGGGCTGTCACCCCTGGGGGACATGGAGGGGTGGCTGACCCCCCCAGTCCCAGAGCTGTTTCTGCCTTGGCCAGGTACCCCTGGGCTCTCACTCCCAAGCTACAGAGCAGGGTGGGTGCAGGATGAAGCAGAGCCCCCCCAGTGCTCTCCAAGAAGGTGCCCCTGGGTTGTGCATGCCTGACACGCGTGTGCGGAGCAGACAGTGCCCATCGCCCATGGGACGTGCTCCGTGCTCCTGTCGCCGCTGCTGCCCTTGAACCCTGGCAGAAATGTCCCTGTGCCATCGTGCTGCTCCTCTGCTGCGTCCTGCACATCCCTGCCTCTGCTTTGGCCAGGGAGGAAGTTCTGCAGGAGGGAGATAATCATCTTCAATCTGTTTTGCCCACAGACAATGGTGAAGCCACCGTCCTGCAGGCAGGAAGGCACGAGTTTCCCTTCACCTTCCAGCTCCCCGAGTAAGTCCACTTGGTTTTTGTTGCCTTCATGCGAAGGGGGAGAGAAATCTCTCGATGCAGGACACAGGTCCTGGGAGGGGGCACAGGGCACCTCAGAAAGGAGGTTCTTTTAGCAGAGCCCTTCTAAAAGGCTCCTTGCTTGTCCGCAGGACCCTGGCTACCTCCTTCGAGGGGAAGCACGGCAGCGTGCGCTACTGGGTGAAAGCCAAGCTGCACAGACCCTGGTCAACAGTGAAGAAGGTGAAGAAGGAGTTCACTGTGATTGAACCCATCGACATCAACACTCCCGTGCTGCTGGTGAGCTCCCCCTGCGCCTCTTCGGGGCAGCAGCATCTCCGGGAAGCCCATGGGGAAGGTGGCTGCTTCCCCTCCAAAATGGACAATCCAGGCCTGATTTCCAAAGGGAATGTGTTTCCCCCCCTTGTAACTCATGCCCTCCAGTGTTACCTGGGCTGGGCTGTGTCTCAGGTTTTGGAAGCTTTAATGGGTTGCAATAGCATCTTGCATCAGATACCCAAGAGGCTGCTGGTGCTCCCTGACAGGTTCTCAGTGCCGGGGAGGTGCTTGCTTTGAGTTTCATCCTGTCTTACTAAATAGCTTCCGCAATCCCCATTTCTCCAGGCTCCCCAGGCAGGTGCTAAGGAGAAACTTGCTCGTGCCTGGTACTGCAATCGTGGCCAGGTTTCTGTGACTGCCAAGATTGACCGCAAAGGCTACACCCCAGGTGAGATGATGTGCTGGGGCCTTTGAACCTCTGTGGGCCCTGCTGGGGGGGGATTTGGGGGCAGTGTGAGCTGGGCATGGGATTTGGTGAGAGAGCTTTAGAGTGTGCTCCTGATGTGGGCATCCTCCTCGGGACACGCTCCTGCTGGATTAAACCTTGTGCCTGCAGTGCTGGATTGCGTGTCCAGCCCTTGGTGATCCTGTACAGGAATCCCTTGAGGCAGGGACCGGGCTCTGTCTCCCTCCTTCCAACATGCGTGTCTGGTTTGGTAGGTGAGGTCATCCCTATCTTTGCTGAGATTGACAACTGCACAAACCGGGTGGTGGTGCCCAAGGCGGCCATCATCCAGACTCAGACCTTCATCGCCCGGGGCACCAAGAAGCAGAAGAAGTCGGTGGTGACCAGCATCGTCGGGGACTCCATTGCAGCGGGGAAGCGGGAAGTCTGGCACGGGCGGGCACTGAAGATCCCACCGGTGGGGCCGTCCATCCTCCAGTGCCGCATCATCCAGGTGGAATACTCCCTGAAGGTGAGGAGCACTGTGGGAGGCTCAGCTCGGTGCTGAGTGTTCTCCTTCTCACCAGAGCTGGGCTCCTGGTGTCCAGTTTGGGCTGCTGTAGAGGTTTTGGGGCTGGTGATTTGTGTGAGCTCTTGGGTTCTCCCTGTTGGCCCACGGGCTCGTGCAGGAGCAATCGCATCTCCCTTTGCATCCCACTGCAAGAATTCCCTCCTAGCCAGCTCAAGCCAGTGCTCTGGGGAGATACCTGCCCCTTCAGGCTGGGAGAACCCCAGCAGCTGAGCTTCTCTGCTGCCTCCTGTCTCTGCAGGTTTGTGTGGATATTCCTGGGACGTCCAAGCTGCTCCTTGAGCTGCCACTTGTCATCGGAACCATCCCACTGCATCCATTTGGGAGCCGCACGTCCAGTGTCAGCAGCCAGTACAGCGTCAGCCTGGACTGGCTGAGCACCATCCCGGAGCAGCCGGAGGGTGAGCATCTCCCCCTGCCCAGGATCTGCCTGGGTGCTGTCAAACCGCTCTGGATGGTGAAATCAGAGCAAGTTCTCAGCGTGGCTCTTGCTCCAGGACCAGCTTTTGCAGGTTTTGGTTGTGCTGCCGCATCTTCTGGGTTCCTTCCCCAGGGAACTGGGAGGTTTTGGGAAGCAGGGGATTTGAAGGCCTTTTACCTGTGTGTTTCCTGTTTAATGGAGAGCGGTTCCTGTTCCCTGATGTTCTTTTCTCTCTCCAGCTCCTCCCGAATACTCGGCAGTGGTGTCCAGCCCCGAGGCCGAGCAGAGCTTGGCTCCCCCGTGCCGCAGTGAGCTTGGTGGCATGCTGGAAGGTCCCTTCTTTGCCTACATCCAGGAGTTCCGCTTCCGACCACCTCCACTGTATTCAGAGGTAACGAATCCCTCTGGGCTGGGAGGGCTGGTGGAGACAGCCACAGTGTGCCCACTGCTGAGGTTTTTGACTCTACGCTTGGCTTTGCAGATTGATCCAAACCCCTCCTCAGACAACATCCGCCCGCGCTGCATGACCTGTTGAGAGAAGCGCATCGGATGCAGTTGACAGCGTAGTGATCCCTTGGGATGAAAGCTTCCACCCTCACAGCACTTGGGTCTGGAAATGGAGACACGGTGGCTGTGAGCCCAGAGCTCCTGCAGTGCCAGGAGACCCCGGCTCCACTGCTGCCCTCAACTCTCTTGTTGGGACTGTCCTGCAGACCAACACCAAGCGTGGTGGCGTGGGCTCGTGCCTGGTAGGAGAACACGGGAGACTCCGGTGTGGAGCAGGGGCCTGTTTCCTTGGGCAGGACACGGAGGGTTAATGACTGCCCCAGGATTTGGGGGCTAAAATGGGATGTTCAGCATGAGCCAGGATTGCTCTCCCCTTGCCTGCAGTGGCCATGCTCTGGCAACTCCTGTCATGGAACGCAGGAGCTTGGAGGTGTTTCTCAGGATCACTAGAGAATGTTTTACTGGGGCTTGGGTTTGTCCCGTGCTGGTGCAGGTGAAGCCCCGCTCCTGCAGTAGCTCACCAGGACTGCAGTTCCCTAAGGAAGTAGAAGGCCTCTTTCTGGCCAAATGAAGCATCATCTGCTGCTGCTGATCTTTGCCATGAGCCTGGTGGTGCCTGCGGGGGGGAATGGTTTTGGAGAACCCCATGAAATTGGAAAGGCTTCCACGGGCTGTTACCAGCGCAGAGGACTTGAGGGACACATTTATGATCTATGGCAGCGTTTTGGTTCTGTTTGCCAAGAACAGGAAAGCTGGTTCCTGTGTGTCAGCACCAAACCTGCACGACGAACGTGCTGAGGCCTGCTCTGTGATGGGGCTGAAACCAAGCAAGCCCCAAATTGCGGTACCACCACGGGGGTGGCATCTCCCTGGTGGCCAGAGAGAAGGAAGCCAGGTCTGAGGCTGGTGGCAGCCACAGATGCTGATGGAGATGTGGAGTTGAAACGAGTCCTTCAGGACCAGGAGTCCTTCTCAGGATGGGCTTGATCCTGCACCCAGAGAGGGGGTCAATGGCCCCGGTGCGGTGATGCCACAGCAGCACCCAGCGCTCGCTGGTGTGGGAACCAGGGAGCTGGGTGTTGTAACAGCAGGACCTGAGCAGAGTTTTGGGTGCTGAGGACCTTTGCATTCCCTCACTGAGCCAATCCTGCCCGCAGGGCCACTCGTTTCCTGCACACAACCAAAGCCCCGTGCTGGGGCCGTGCTCTGCGCCCCGGGATTGCTCAGCTCTTTTCTACCTGTGAACACTTTTGTAATGAGCACTCTCATCTCCTTTTTGTACCACTTTTTGTCGGGGGGGGGGGGGGGTGTCTCTTGGTAATAATAAATCCTTTACACCCAGATGGGGCCTGCAGAACTTTGTCTCTTGCTCTCTCCATGCTTCCCATTGCGCTGGCAGCGCTCCTGCTCCCATGTCCCTCCCTGGAGTTCATTGTCCTGTGGGTACCCAGCTCCACCCTGTAAGTGCCACTCTGCACTGGGATTAACTGGGTTGTTTGACCAATGCTGCTCCCCATCAGGATTGGTCCCTTGTGCTCAGAGCCCTCCTGCTCTGTCTGGATAGCAGAGGATAGATGCTCTCCTCCATCCCAAGAGCTTGGCACAGACCCATTGGGTCCAGCTGGGACACAGCTGCAGTGTCTCTGCCATTCCCAAGGAGGGTTGGGGCCAGCCCCATGTTGTGCCAGCTGGGAATGGCTGCGGCCATGCAGGAAGAGCAGGGAGGCATCATGGAGTTGGGATTTGGTTTTTAACAGCATTTCTGTGCTCCACGTCTCTATTGAGCACAGCAGCCCCTGGTCCATGCAGAGCCGGGCTTGAGCCAAGGCTTTGGTTCTATCCTCCACAGCCTGTGCTGCTTAAACCTATTGCCACTGGAATGTGATTTCCCTTCCCTTGATCCTTCTTTCCTGGTGCTGGTGTTCACTGAGCAGTGCTGGAGCGCGAGCTCCCGCAGTGGGCCAGGCGCTCAGCCCCGGGTTTGCCCGCAGGAGCCTGGTGCTCATGCAGCCTTCATTCAAACCTGGGCTTTACTTGGCGTTCCCAGCTCCGCACCGAGTTATCTTCCTTGGGAGAGGATGAAGCGGCCTCGCAGGGCGTTCGCCTGCATCCCTGTCTGTGGTCCATGCGATTCTGCGCCGCCTCGTGCCTCTTCTGCAGGACATCAAAGAGGGACAGGAACCGCAGCGCTGCAGCCCCCCCAGGGGGAGAAACGGCCTCCAAGGGGCCCCTGTGACCGGCTCCCAGCTCCAACCTGCGCCCGGCACAACGGAGCCTTTCTGTGCCGAGCCACAGCGGTGCCAGGGGCTGTGTCAGACCCTGATCACCCGCCCCGGCCGCACAAGGGGATCCTTAATCCCAAGGGCTGGAGCGGGAGCACCTTTCTGGGCAACGCGCGTCATGCCAGGGCCGGCCCAGGGAACCCAATGCCAATGGGCACCGCTCCCGGGCCCCAGGGCAGTGGAATCTTCCCAGCAGGACCGCTTGCAAATGCTTGCAAGGTTTTCTGGTCAGGGCAGGCAGCAGGCAGGGGGGCACAGACTGTCTGGGTCCCCTGCCAGCAAAGGGCCGTGTTCCTGAATCCCAGAGGGGCTAAAAATACCTCGTCTGGATGCTGGGAGGTGGGATAAGGCACAGACCCCCCTGGGCCATGCTTTCCCAACCAGTGCCACCGGAGCTCCCTCCAACCTCTGCTGTTTGTCTTCCCCGGCTCCAAAGTCCCTATTGATCAGCGCCGCTTTTATTCCTGTTCACTGGCACAGGGTTTGGGGCTCGCCGGGGTTTGCTGAGCCGGGACGGCCCCGTGCCACGGGCAGCGCTGCTGGGCAGGAGCTGCATTAAGCAAGTACAGTGCAGGAGTATTTATAGCTCTTGGCCTCGAGCATCGGAAAATGCTTCCCAGACCACCCAGCAAAACCTGCTCCTAGCGAGGGGCATGGAAACATCATCCCCCCCCCCCCCACCGCTCCTCCCTCTTTTCCTCTTTGCCCTTGGGTAAGTGGGACCCCTCCGCTGTGGGAACTGGGGTGCTGGGACACCTCTTGTTGCCCCCCATGGCTCTGCAGGGTGCTGGGAGCTTCACCCCACCGGGCACTGGGAGCTTCACCCCACAGCTCCCGGCTCTGCAGCCCCTTCCTGCAGCATCCTGGGGGGGGGGGGGGGGGGGGGGTTGCTCCTTCCCCCCTCAGCTCTCCCCATCCTGGAGGATGCTTGGTCCCCACACGGTGGCCACGGCCTCTGCTCAAGGCTCTTGTCCCCCGGTGCGGGGTCAGGGCCGGGGGCCAGCAGCGGGGAGGGTGACACGTGAAGCTGGGAAGCTCGTGGCCGGCGCGGCAGGGACAGAATGTGCCGGCGCCAGCGCAGCCTTGCAAGGACCGGGGATTAGGTGTGAGGCTGCTGCCTCCTGGCCCAGGCACCCATCCAGCTCCCAAAACAAGCTCTGCCTTCCCCCATCCCAGCTGGGACGAGCGCTGCAGGGTGCAGCACACCCCAAAACCTGCCTGGGGACCAGCAGGGGCTGGTCTGTTTGCAGGGGGGGTGCTTGGTGATGAATCCCCTTGGATTTTGACACAAGGAGATGCCCCAGTGCTGGGGATGTGGTCGATGCAGTGCCCAAATTCATCACCTCTGCAGCCGGTGGGACGCTGGGTTCACACTGCTGGCACCCCAGGGAGCAGCAGGTTGGTGCTGGTGGGTGCTCAGGAGCATGGAGACCTCCTCGTCCCCTCATTATGGGTCTCTGAGCACCATAAGGGGACACACACAGAGCCCCGGCAGCACCAGGCCTTGCTTTGGGTTTGGTTCAACCTCCAGAAGCCCCGGGGTTGTGACCAGCACATCCTGGCCCTGGCAGCATCTCCGGGGGCTCTCTTCACGTGGCAGCAGCAGAGCTGTGCCGGGCGCCAGCAGCAGCCGCGCACCCCGACGTGCCGGGGTGGCACCGCAGCATCCTCCTCCCGTGACTCAGCTCTGAGCGTGCCGGGGCTGCTCCCACCCATGGAAACCGCAGGCAAAGGCCTGCATCCCTGCGCCAGCTCCGCAGGAATCACGGCTTCCCCCGGAGTGTTGGCCAGGCCAAGAGCCCGTCCGGATGCAGGGAAAACCACAGAGAAAGCGGGGTGGTTTATGGCAAAAGCGAGATCTGGAGCAGCCGGATGGGTACCGCCTGGGCCACATGTCCCCTACCTGGAAAGCATCGTGTCAGTGCGAGCGGGATCGTGGTGCTCACCAAGACACCCCACAAGCCGCACCGGTGACACCAGTGCCAGGTTTGCTGCAGGCTGCCGGGAGCAAACCACCCCTTTTATTCCTTATTCTTTTATTCGTTCACCAAAGAAGTAGCAAATCCCTGGCAGTGTTCAAGGCCAGGTTGGACACAGGGGCCTGGAGCAAGCTGCTCCAGTGGAAGGGGTCCCTGCCCGTGGCAGGGGTTGGAACTGGGTGAGCTTTAAGGTCCTTTCCAACCCGAACCAGGCCGGGATTCTGGGATTCCCCGAACCAAACCCAAGCCCTTGTTTTTCTGGGGCTGATGTCCCCATTCCTGCTCCCTCGTCACCGCTCCCTCTGGCAATGGAAAATTTTGATGGCTTTCCGACTTTGTTTGGGAGCAAGGAAGGGGCCCAGCGCCAGGCACAAACATGTCTATGGATAAGCAGCAAGGACTGGGTGGGGATGGACCCGCCGGCGCCGGGGGCCAGCAGTGACCCTGCCCATGGAGGTGGGTGCCGGGACCCCAGCGCAGTGGGGACACAAATATTTTGGCTTTGTATGAAAACAACAACACTAAAAGGAAAATCCCAGCCCCCGTCCGGAATCAGCTGCCGGCAGCACGTGATGTGTTGGCACAAACAGCCCATGGGATGGATGGCCCTTGTCCAGCCGGGGTCCCGGCACGGCTCCCACACCAACACACAGCCACAGGCTGGGATGTGCCGGTGACACGGCCGTGCCTGGGATGTGGCACTGCAAGGACTTTGCTCCCAGCGCCATTCCCCACCCAGGCTGGGTTTGCCGTCACTCCCTGCTTCACAAGTCCTGTGGAAACCCCCGGTTGGAGCAGCGTCTCCTCTCGAGGGATGCACCCCATATCCTGGCCCCCACATCTCCCTGCAGCTGGAACCTTGCTGCTCCAGGTGCCGGTGGAGACGCAGCAGTCCCCTGTGAGAGGTTTGGAGCAGGGGGCATCACCCCGCTGCTCCCCGTCCCCTTGGGCAGCTCCTGCAATGGGGTGAACCCCATGGCTCTGCTCCCCGCTCCCATTCCCCAGTCTCCCAGGCTAACTGCGCTGCTCCCTGTCCCCTTGGGCAGCTCCCGCGATGGGGTGAACCCCATGGCTCTGCTCCCTGCTCCCATTCCCCAGTCTCCCAGGCTAACTGCGCTGCTCCCTTTTCCTTTCCCTTCCCCACACCCTGCCCTGGAAGAAGCAGAACGTTTGAGCTGCTTGCAACAAAAAACCCTCAGGCCAGTTTGGGGAGAAGGTGGCTCCGAGCCAGCCTGCAGGGATGGCGATTATCCCCTCTCCCCATTTACCATCCCCATTAGCCCGCCTGCACCCAACCACAGGTTTATGTGGAGCAGG